ATCAACATTTTCTCTGCAGCTTCATAAAAGTTTCAGTTTTCAGGATTAAAGTGTTTCTCAAATGAGTCTGTTTATATCATCACAGCTGCACTGAAAGGAAACTTCGTCTCTTCCAACAACAAAGTTCAGCTGCTTCTTGATCTCCACTAATGAAACCCAGTAAGTTGGTTCTTACCGGTTCCATCCAGTCTGGCTCCAGAACCAAAGCGGTACCAGTATCCTCCACAGAAACCAGCCTGCTGCTGACCGGGTCGGCTGAGGGGAACCGGTCCAGATGATGCAGCAGAATCAGGTTTCAGCTCCATCATGAGTTTCAACACGGCTGCTGATTGGGATCAGAACCGACCTGCTGAGGTTCTGGTGGATCAGAACCGACCTGCTGAGGTTCTGAGTGGATCAGAACCATCAGAAATGTGCTGTGAAGGTCCAAAGTGGTTCTGAAGGAAGTTCTGCAGACATCCTGTCTGAAAGCTCCAGTCTCTCCCAGTGGGTCTCCTGGTTCTACAGTCTGAGCTGCAGCTGCTGAGATCTCCTACAGTCATGAATGCAGCATGGAGGTCTGAGGTCTCCTACGGTCATGAATGCAGCATGGAGGTCTGAGATCTCCTACGGTCATGAATGCAGCATGGAGGTCTGTAGTTTCCTGAGGTCATGAATGCAGCATGAGGTCTGAGATCTCCTACGGTCATGAATGCAGCATGAGGTCTGTAGTTTCCTGAGGTCATGAATGCAGCATGGAGGTCTGTAGTTTCCTGAGGTCTTGAATGCAGCATGGAGGTCTGTAGTTTCCTGGAGGCTGATGGAGCCATGAAGCTCACACTGATCAGGTGGAATGAAGACAACAGGGGTCATGACCTTTGACCTGCTGCCTTCTGACTCTCTGATTAAACCTGCAGCTTCACTAAGAGTGTGAACAGCAGAGCCGGCCCAATGCAGAAGCAAACTAAGCAGCTGCTTGGGGCCCCAAAGCTTCAGGGCCCATAAATACATTTGATCACTGATCACTGATCAATCTGGTTATTGAGAATAAAAATGCTGTTAAAACTTAAATGTTGGATGTAAAGGAGAGTTTACTTTATAAAGTGGAAAGAACAATCAGTCAAGGGCCGAATCAGGGCCAGAGGCCCCTCTGGGCCCCGTCTAGAGCCGCCCCTGTTGGTCCAGCACTGATCCGTCTGTTGGCTCAGCCGGTCCAATCAGAACCTGCAGCTCAACCAGATCAACTCTCTCATCACCTCAGCAGGTTAAAGGTCAGGAAAACGGCAGCTAGCTTCTCTGCAGACCCCACATATTCTGGACACAAACTGATTGGACTTTTACCTTCAGGGCTTGGTTCTGATCCAAACTCCCAAAAATTGGTGTTCTTTATTAACTAGCAAACCGGCCTGACCTTTAACCCTTGAGAGAACCTGGAGTAAAGAGGAAAATGAGAAAAATCAGAACAGAGCAACCCGAAGGCTTCCAGAACCTGAGCAGAACCTCAACAGAACCTGAGCAGAACCTCAACAGAACTTGAGCAGAACCTCAACAGAACCTGAGCAGAACCTGAGCAGAACCTCAGCAGAACCTCAGGCTGGTCTCTTCCATCACATTGATGCAGGAATTCATGCAAAAGGAGCCCAGACCAGAACTGATTATTGATGATTTGTAATAGTTTATTACTGATCAATTGGACCTGATGTAGGTCCAATAATTTAACTCACCAGAACCATCTGGATCCTCTGAGAAGCAGAAACAACCAGAATAAAAAATGGACCCAAAGCTTCTTGACTTATAAAATAAACTAAATTATCTGCTGAACGTGTTTTTCTCTACAATATATTAATATCAAACCTATTAGTGATGAAGAGGATGATGATCTTATTATTGATGATCTCATTATTGATGATCTCATTATTGATGATCTCATTATTGATCCTGTATCTGAAACAATGGGAATGAAAACCATTAATTATTGAATAAATCCAACAAATTGATAAAACCTTCAGAGTTTATTGTAATAAAATGATGAAACATTAAAGACTCAGAGAGTCTCTGTGTGAGATGGAGGTGAAATCAGTGAACCTGGGCTGTGGTTTACTGCTCTCTATGTCACAAACTGACATCTGATCATCTGGAGGTTTTTGTTCAGGCTCAACGAATCATTTCTCACTGTGGGAACGAGAGATCCAACAGCCGCAGTAGTAGGAGGCTGAATGAACGTCTGCAACATTTTCAATCTTCAGTTCACAGCCGTAATCAATTTTCCCAGAGGAGAAATCATCTTTCTGAGGATGATTGTACCTGTGCTCAATTGCACAGCTACTTTTACGGTAACGAAAAATGATCTTAAATGTTTCATTATCTTTCTTCTGGTACCAGTGTGTATATTCATCAAAATAACACTGATCAGTTCCCCCACAGCTGAAGGAGACGCTCTGCCCGGTTCTCCTGGTCAGACTCAGGTCCTTCTGAACCAGCTGTGTTCCCACAGCAGCCAGCGCTGTAGAGACACAGACAGACAGACAGACAGACAGGTGAAGGTTAGTGTGACAGTGTTTGTTCCAGGTGTTGGCTCCTGATTGGCTGGAAACACTCACCTGAACCCAGCCAGCACAGAGCAGCAGCTGGGAGGAAAAGCATTGTGTGCAGTGGTGTTTCCTCTGGTGAACCTGGGGAGAAGTGGCTCTGATGCAGCTGAGGCCAAACAAGGACGAGCTGAGAGATCAGACCAGGGCCACGTGGTTTCTAGCAGAGGAACCAAAGCTCCCATCAGCCCCTGCAGCCCAGAGAAGAGGAAGCTGCTGATTGGACGGTCAGAGGAAGATGCTGATTGGACGGTCAGAGGAAGCTGCTGATTGGACGGTCAGAGGAAGCTGCTGATTGGATCCTCCATGTACCTGGTTATTGTATCTGGTCGTAATAATTTGCTCCTCTACTGAAATGAATCTTCATCTCCAGTCTGACGGGAAACTTGACTTGTTTATTGCGAAACCTACAAAGAGACTCGATGAAGATAAAATCCATCTCTGAAGCATCTTCCTTCTGAAATCATGAAGAAAAACAGACGATTCTCAGCTACATTATGACGTCATCAGGTGAATCTGAACCACTGAAGTATTGAATGCACAGAAAATAATCAGTTCATGGATGGAAAATGTTCTGAAGCTGATAGAAACCAAACTAAAGTTATATATTCAGACATAAAGATCAAAGGATTCTGGCCTTTTGTCTTTTATGTTCAATGTTTGTCTGAATGTTTGTTAAATGTCTTAATGTTCGTCCTACATTTTATTCTGTTAACTGAAGAATTGATTCATGATTAGGAAGCATTGATCATTTATTGTGTTTCATAATAAAAGTCTAAATGTCCCATAGGTTGAATATCAAATATCAATAATCATCAGTTGAACTGATAACAGACTGCCATGTTTCTGCAGCTTCAGAGGATTTTCTGACTGAGGAGGATTTAAAATCTGCAGTCAGTTGGACTGAGGCTCCATGTCTCCAGCTGGTGGCTCTTTGTCCCCCACTGACTCTGTTACCCCAAAACAGGAAGAAACAGGAAGTTTAATGAGCTGCAAACGTTTCAAAGAAGTCCCATTAATTCATGAAATGTTACCTGGAACATAAATTATAACATATCTTATAGAGAACAACCACTGATACCTAACAGAGCAGATGCTGCATGAGGATATTCTGCATCTGTTAGTATTTTTATCAGCCCTTTAATTTTGCTGCATGGCTGCAATAAAAGTAATAAATTCTGTTCATCTCTGAGTCCAGAGGGAATAAATCTAAATCCAGGCTGTTTTCAATGAGTTCCTCTGTTTGTGACACGTCCAGATTACATGAGATCTGCATGACGACTATTTATGATTCAGGGAGAATCGTCAACTTAACTTTAAAATGACAGAAACATAAACTTGTGAAGTCTGAAAACAATAATGAAACCAGAAACCTTCAGAGTTTATTGTAATAAAATGATGAAACATTAAAGACTCAGAGAGTCTCTGTGTGAGATGGAGGTGAAATCAGTGAACCTGGGCTGTGGTTTACTGCTCTCTATGTCACAAACTGACATCTGATCATCTGGAGGTTTTTGTTCAGGCTCAACGAATCATTTCTCACTGTGGGAACCAGAGATCCAACAGCCGCAGTAGTAGGAGGCTGAATGAACGTCTGCAACATTTTCAATCTTCAGTTCACAGCCGTTCTCAATTTTCCCAGAGGAGAAATCATCTTTCTGAGGATGATTGTACCTGTGCTCAATTGCACAGCTACTTTTACGTAACGAAAAATGATCTTAAATGTTTCATTATCTTTCTTCTGGTACCAGTGTGTATATCATCATAACGACACGGCCCAGTTCCACAGCTGAAGGAGACGTTCTGCCGGTTCTCCTGGTCAGACTCAGGTCCTTCTGAACCAGCTGTGTTCCCACAGCAGCCAGCGCTGTAGAGACACAGACAGACAGACAGACAGACAGACAGGTGAAGGTTAGTGTGACAGTGTTTGTTCCAGGTGTTGGCTCCTGATTGGCTGGAAACACTCACCTGACCCACCAGCACAGAGCAGCAGCTGGGAGGAAAAGCATTGTGTGCAGTGGTGTTTCCTCTGGTGAACCTGGGGAGAAGTGGCTCTGATGCAGCTGAGGCCAAACAAGGACGAGCTGAGAGATCAGACCAGGGCCACGTGGTTTCTAGCAGAGGAACCAAAGCTCCCATCAGCCCCTGCAGCCCAGAGAAGAGGAAGATTAATTTGTTTTTTAAAATAGAAGATTAGATGTTTGAAAAATGTTTTTGAAAAGGAAGAATTTCAACAGATTCATATGAAATAATATGAGTTCATGTGAATAAAGTTCAGCAGCTCTTGTTGCTGCCAGGCTGCAGTTCCCCTGCAGTCCAGCAGGGGCGGAAACGGACCAATCAGCTGCTGAGTCTCAGTTTGACCCCAGCGGAAGGAAAACAGAGCAGCTCCTTCCGCTGGTTGCTTCGTGTTTGAGCTGATATTCAGTCACCATGTGTTCAGTTCAGCAGCTGAGGGATTTCATCAGAGAGAGACTAACTGCTGCTGCGGAGGAAATCTTCACTCAGGTCGAAAAAACCATCATTAGCTACGAGGAAGAGATTAAAGTTCTGGAAACCTGCAGGAATGAAGCTCAGATAAAAACAACCGGTATGGAGCTTCAACACTGACTGATAGTTTATAACCTGAAGTTTTTTATCTTCGGTTCTGCTTTAGGTTTTAACTCGGAACTCGGAGGTTTCGCTGTTTCTACTTATATTCCTTCAACAATATAATATATGATTCAGACTGATTGATCTTATGGATCTAAAATGACAACATGATCCGGAGCTTCCTGTGTCCAGAAAAGTTCTGTTTATTATTCCAGTTTGACTGGACTGGTGCTCCAAAGTTTCAGATGGAAGGAAAGTTTCCTTTTCATTTCGGGGTTTCAGAGTCTGGGGGAAGAGAGGAGTGGACCGGAACCGAGCTGCTGGATCCAAACCTGTCTGACTATCAGACTGTTTTTGGATTCCAGGTCTGGTTTAAAGATCTTTGCTCTAAAAACATGTAAATACAACCTTCAGCTGAACAGACTGATTAAATACATTATCAATCAACATTGAGCTGCTAAAAATATATCAACGATCTGATATATTTAAACATGTTTAATTTTGAGAAAGGCTGATTGGATGCAGAGGCAGCTATTTATTAATATTTTCTTTCTTTAGGTATAACATTCATGATCTTCAAATTGGCCAAAGTTAAAATGAGCTCAACTTTCCTCCTGCAGGCAAACAGGCAATAAAATCTGCTGTTATTAACAGGAGGATCCAGAAGACCAGCTTTAACTTCTGATCTGTTGTTCCTTCAGATCCGGACCGAGAAGAACCAGAACCTCTGCAGATTCAACAGGAGGAACCAGAACTCCCACTGATTGAAGTGGGCCTGGAAGAACTTGGACCAACCGAACGAGACCAGAAGGAACCGGTACCTGGAGGAACCACAGGAGAGCTGACACAACCAGAACCAGCGCAGATTAAAGATGAACTTACAGAACCACAGCGGCTGGCCGACCCGGTGTCCAACAGCCAGGAGGGACAGCGGCTGGTACTGAAGGAGGAGACGTCTGTGGACCTGCTGAGTTACCAGCAAACTGAAGCAGAACCAACCGCTGAGCAGCTTTGTTATGGTTCTGAACCTCAGACCCAAAGCTCAGAAGGAAACGTCTCCACTGTGTCCCAGAGTTTGTCTCTTAGAAACTGTGAAAAAGTCTTTAACTCCAGAAACAATCTGGATCAGCATCGCAGAACTCACACAGGCGAGCGGCCATTTTCCTGTCCAACATGTGGGAAGAGTTTGTCCAAAAGCAGCAAATTGAAGGTCCACATGAGATCCCACACAGGAGAGAGGCCTTTCATCTGCAGCATCTGCGGCAAAGCTTTGAGTTCAAACAGACACCTGACCGATCACATGGTCACCCACTCCAGCCAGAGGCCCTTCGGTTGCTCAGTGTGTGGAAAAACGTTTTGTCATGAGAGTTCCTTCCAGTACCACATGAAAGGCCACAACGGAGACAAGCCGCATTCTTGTGACACGTGTGGAAAAAGGTTTATTCTCAGTTCCAGTCTGCTGAGGCACATGAGAACCCACACAGGAGAGAGGCCTTTCTGCTGCGCCACATGTGGGAAACGGTTCGCTCAGAGCAGCAACCTGGGTGTTCACAGGAGGATCCACACGGGAGAGAAGCCGTACTCCTGCCCAACGTGTGCAGAGAGTTTCTGTCGTAGAGCAGGTCTGCTCAGGCACATGCAGACCCACAAGACCGGCTGAAAACCCAACAACATTTCTCCTAAAGTGGATTTATTTCACAGTCAATCGACAGCTTTTGGTTCCTGCTGCTCAAAGTCACATTACAAACCACCAAACTCTGGAAGAGGTTCTCCCATTTATCCTGCACAACTGTAAAAACAAGATTTTAGTCTCAGAAGAGGAAATATTTCAGATTTGGGTTCGTTTGAGATTTGAACCAACAGGGGAAACAAACTGATCCGTTTAAAGCAGAGCAAACTGACCAGGTGTGAATACACCTTTAAGGTTTTAAAGACAACAGGTGACGCAATATAAGAATCATTAACTAGAGTCTGTTTTCTGCCGCACTGTTCAGTGCATATCTCACCCTGGCTTAATTAAATATCATATTGACAGCAGTCAGAGTGGGCCATGCTTACTGAGCACCAGCAGCTCCTGCTGGTCCAGAGGTCAGAACTGCTGTCAGCAGGAACTCAAGGATGTAGGGCAGCAGCCAGACAAACAGCCGGCAAACAGCCGGCAGACAGCTGGCAAACAGCTGGCAGACAGCCAGCAAACAGCTGGCAAACAGCTGGCAAACAGCCGGCAAACAGCTGGCAAACAGCCGGCAAACAGCTGGCAGACAGCTGGCAAACAGCTGGCAGACAGCTGGCAAACAGCTGGCAGACAGCTGGCAAACAGCTGGCAGACAGCTGGCAAACAGCTGGCAAACAGCTGGCAAACAGCTGGCAAACAGCTGGCAGAGCCTTACATAAAACTCTGGAGTTTAAAATAAGGAAGATATTGGGTCACATTCAGAAGGACAGGAGCTGATCTCTGATCTTCTTGCAGTTTGTGTTTAAATCTGTCAGAGGTTAAATGAACACTGAAATATTATTTCTGACTCGGTTCTTAACTCCAGCTGTTGGTCCTGATGAGAAATCAGCTGATTGGAAACACAAACCGCTGCTTGTTTCAAATAATAATATTTAGAATAGAAATGCAGAGCAGGATGTTCCTCATCACTGGTTCCTCCCTCCTTATGTTTCATATCCAGAAATAAAACATTCGTAAACAGCCTTTAGTTTCTGCAGTTGAATCATTAATTCTGAGGATGAATAATAATCTGTTATAATCAGAAAACTCCTTTTCACACCCATTTTCCTTTAGTTTAGCTCAAATAAAACAGATTATGACCTTTGATCAAATATGGCTCAGTGACCTGCTGCTGGCAGATACATCATATAATAAAGGTATGAAAGGGTGAAATGATCTCCTTCCACTCAGCAGGTGGATCTGATCTGCAATAGAAAGATACAGAAAACACCTTCAGCCCTCTGTAAAGTAAGGTGGAGGTTCTGTGGTGCTGTGGGCCTGCCTGGTTAGATTCATTTATTGTGATCTCTGCAGTATAACTACAACACGGATCTGAAAACTGCTTCTGGATGCTATGAATGACTGATATATTTAATATCTTTCCTACTTGAATAAATGAAAATGTATTTTGCTAAATGATCAGGTGATCATGTTGGTGGCTTCCAGCCTCTTGGTTGAAGATCTGATGTTTTTTGTATCCAACAATTGTTGCATCAACATTGATTTCTTTTGACATTAATTGCTGTTTTTTACTTGACATTTTGCTTTAATAATCTCATAAATGTTCCACTGAATCCTCAGATGGTTTCTGGACTGTTATGTTGAGAAATGGAAAATGTTGCTATCCCTGTAATAAATAATTACAATTCAAGAAAATATGTTTGAAAATCAACACTGCGATTGGAATGAGCACCTCAACCAAATATGACTCCAGTGTTTCAAACCTGACAGCATTTTGCAGCTGAGCTTCAGTCAGTGAAGCTTGAAGAGATCAAGACTCGGTTTTGCTCTGGAACCATAATCCATCACATCATGTCAGTTTAAATACATCAGAACCAGAGGAGGCGGTTCTGATGGCAGACATCGGGTCACGCAGCTCCTGCCAGGTCTGTCTGGTTCTGTCCAGAGATGGTTCTGTTCTCTAAGACCAGTTGACCCAAAGTTGGTTTCATCAAAACAACGTACAGTTTCCCATTATCTTTCTCTGGATGAGTGAAAACGATCTTTAGTTGAGTTTCTTTAATGTTCTTGAAAAGATGTTTAAGCAGCAACATGAAGCCTGAAGAGGCTGAGATTAAACTCTGGCTTCTCATTAAACATGACGAGACTTTTAGCTAAGAATGGAAACATCATTCCAAGTGAAAATCATCCACAGGTTGGAGGTACGGCTCAAATACATTCTAATTAAATGTCTGGTTTATTGAACAAAAACCATAAATAACAGAATTAACTGCAAAGAATAATAAGCTTTACATCAGATGTTAGCCATCAGTGCAAACAGCTTTACAGAAAACAATACAAGAGTTTATTCAGTAAACATGAGAGTAAATGACTCTCTTATTTAGACCAGGTGTTCAAGGTGGCCCCCTGCAGGGCCGACGTCCTGCATGTTTCACTCCCCCTGGTGGAAGAGATAAAACCTCATCAGCAGGTCAATGTTCATCTGAAGATCCATCATTTGATCCAGGAAGAGAAAAAACCTGCAGGATGCCGGCGGTCCATGACCCACTTCAGAACCACTTCAGAACCATTTCAGAACCACTTCAGAACCACTTCAGAACCACTGCTTTACAAATCCAAACACTGGAATGATAAGTTCTGGTAGAACTTCCAGTTCCCACCATCCAGTCTGGGTTCTCCGAACCTGTCTAAACTACACTTAACTCCTGATGACAATTATGATGTTGACTGATCAATTGTTGTTATCTCTGTTTTAAAGTATTTTTCTGTTTCACGTCGTAACGTTTTTAAATTTCATCTCATTTTTAATTGTTTTAAAGTCGTAAATGAAAACGCTGATTGTCCAAATATTATTCATCTTTCAGGAATCATCCACCACAATTTCAACAGTGATCACAAAAATGTTCACTTTGGTGAAAATGAGTAAATTATCAGATGTTATTTAATCCATTAGTGTGGATTACAGCTGCCTTCAAAACCCCATTTTAAACAATCAGTCGTCTTCAGTCTCCTGGTCTTTATGTGACTTTTTATGGCTGTACATTCCATTGGCTGTGCTGAATTTAATTCCACATACTGTACAGGAGAAAGGTTTCTCACCTGTGTGAACCCACATGTGAGCTTTGAGGGAAATTTTGCGGGCGAATATTTTACCACATGTTGGACAGGAGAAGAGTTTCTCTCTGTTGTGTTTCCTCAGGTGGGAGTTCAATGAGCTCAGCAGGGTGAAACCTATCCCACATATTTCACAAGTAAATGATTTCTCTCTTGAGTGGGTGCTCATGTGATTATTCAGACGCCGAAGGTCAACACAACCTCTGCCACATATTGTGCAATAAAAAGGCCACTGACCTGTGTGGACGCTGATGTGGCCCTTTAAATGAGTTTTTTGAGAGAAACTTTTCCCACATATTGTACAAACAAATGGCTTTAAGCCTAAATGCATTCTGTGATGCACCTGAGAATTATACTTTGATTTAAAGGTTTTTCCACAAACATCACATGTTAAGGATGAGTAGTTCTGACACAGTTCTTTAGTGTTTCGTTTTGCTTCCTGGAGATCCTGACGACCGGATTTCTCCAGACGGCTAACCGGCTCCGGCTGCTCTCCAGCCTCCGGTTCATTTTTAATCTGTGAAGCTTCTGGTTCCTCCTGGTCCAGACTGGAGGTTCCCTCAAAACCGGTTTGGACCTTCTGCATCGGATCCTTCTCATCCCTGCAGACATGTTGCTGTAGGACGTCTGCAAAAGAATAAAAACACTATCAGTTAATATTATATTCAGGGAAACGACCTGAAAACATAGTTCTAAAAATAACTAGAGATGCACAAAGTAAAATCCATGTTTTCAATAATTAAAACGCATCAGGATGAACAAAAGGCTTTCAGCTGTTATGAAAATACAACAAAGACGGAAAATCAACTTGAAATAAATTTCCTTTGCATCACAGCCTTGAACTGGCCTCTGTCTCTTTAAGAAGTCAGAAATAGTAGGAGTCGTTGTTTCCTTTATTTCCTGTTTATTTCTCAGACAAATAAAACCAAGTGTAAAAAATAGAAACCAACAGAATATCTAACATTTTCATACCGTTTTCATAACTTCATCTGAAAGCAAAGGTTGTAGCTGAAACCTGCTTTTTATAATAACTCATTTGTATCATTAATTGTAATTGCTGTCAGTTGTGTGTTTGTTTGTGTCAATTGTTTTTTCTTTTTTTTACCATTGACCAGCAGATTATAGATGACAATCAGTCCTTGTGGATAATCTGGTATATTTAAAAAGTTGTTTTAATGTTTAAACTGTCTCATTATTCTGTTGGGAAGCGTTCTTAGTTTAAAGGATCTTTGCAGTTTTCCAGTTTGATCAGATTAGAAGAGCATCAGGACTGAATGCTCCATGTTTGGTTCTGGGATTAAACATTCTAATCATTTCTCTCAATAATAAGCTGATATATAGAATAGAATAGAATAGAATAGAATAGAATAGCATTTATTATCATTGAACAGGATTCAACGAAATTTCTATTGCAACTCCCGTGCAAAAAGTCAAATATATACAATATTAAATAAACAAACACACAATAATAATAATAATATATACAACTAAAATTAACTAAAGGCAAATTTGCTCTGCAGTGTAATTTGTTGTAAATAAACTGACCTGAATAATGAAATGTAATGTGAGTCAATTTTCTCTTTCCATTGTTAATATAGTTTGTAAAATAATCTTCAGTTCAGCCCAGTTTAGCAGCAGGCGGATCTCTGTCTGCAGTGAAAACATTTGATCCAGACCCACCAGAACTTTGTCTCTGCAGCTCCGAACCGACTCTGTGTAGCTTAATGTCTGGTTTCCAGCTGATCCCCATCATCCTGCGCTGAGCATCGAGCTCTTCCTCGTAGCTAATGATGGTTTTTTCAACCTGAGTGAAGATTTCCTCCGCAGCAGCAATTAGTCTCTCTCTGATAAACTCTCTGAGATGCTGAACTGAACACATGTTTGCTGAAATACCAGCAGAAACACGATAAAACAACCGTTTACTAACTTTCCTCTAATGGCGGATCCTCTGACTCCAGCTGCTGCTTGAGCCTTTTTTCTTCTACTTCCGCTGAGGGTCACCTGAGGTCCACTTCCGCCGCCTGCTGGGCTGGAAGGGAACAGCCCGGATTTTAGCCTGGGCCTATAGAGGCTGCAGCCCAGGGCCCCGGAGCTTTGGGGGCCCGAATGATGCTTTGTGTTTCTGTGAATGAATAAGGTCAGAAAGCCTCTTTGCCAGTTTATTACTTTGCCAGTTTTATTACTGGCAAAGAGGAATTTGTTGTTGAAAAACTGTCTGCTTTGTTTTGACAAACGTCCATCATCAATGCTTGAATATTATTGGTCCAAGTTTGGTGTCTGTCGTTTTGAGGATGAGCTTCAGAGAGTCATTTCGCACTATGGAGGACAACAGAAAGTATGACAGCAGAGCACTGGAACAACAACAAAAAAAGAATGTGACAGTGATGTGATGAAGAAAATATTAACTCTCATATTAACATGGAACATCGTCACTCTCCGCTTCCATTGCAAAGAGAGCTGAGGCTGATTTTTAGAATTCTGTAGGTAGATAATGCTGGTCTCATGGTTATGCAGTTGTGCCTAACATGCTGAAACTGTCTTTTCTGTGCATGTGGTCACTTCCTACAAGATATGGTCAGGTTATGTTGAGCCTGTTATGTTTAACTTTTTGTAAACCATGTTGTCATACAGACTGATGCGGTGATTTGAAATGTGATGTCAATGACTGGATTGTACCACATCTAACCCGTCATGCAGGTTCCTGTTTGTTTTACTTATGTTTTTATTTATTTCTTGAAAATAAATGTAAATATAAAATAATAATAATTAAAAACAAACACTGTATAATTATGTTACTGTAATATAATGTACTTTCCCAAAAAAGAGTTTATGACTCAACATTCCTGTTAGATATAAAACGACTTATTCATTGTCAGGTTTGTAATGTATCGTCACTGATTTACTGTTTACTGGGCTTCAGTATCGATCAAATTAATACAATAATGAAAGATCTGTATGATCAGAACTGAACGAGAAGAACAGTTCAGCGGTGTTTGGGTTATTGGTGTGTGAGAGAGTGTGTCAATGACACGTATTAAAGTTTGGTCCATTTACTTGTATTAGCTCGCTGGCACATTCAATATGGCGGACGCTGTGACGCATCGCAGGCGTCTTCGTGTTTAACGTGACTCTCAGCGGAAGTAAAACCAAACGGCTCCAGCAGCTGGTGTTGCGTTTCAGCTAAATATTCCGCAACAATGCCTTCAGTTCAGCAGCTGAGAGATTTTATCAGAGAGCGACTAACTGCTGCTGCTGAAGAAATATTCATCCAGGTAGAAAAAACCATCGTCCGCCATGAGCAGGACATTTTGCTGCTGGAAAAATGCTGGAAACCTCAAATAAAACTCACCAGAATCGGTAAGAAGCTACAGAGGCCAGCTAGTTCAGACCCAGAAAGTAAAATATAAAATAAATACATGAAAAATTAGTCGTTTGGTCGGGATTTTTCTCCCCGTTACCATGACAACTGTTAGCAACCGTCGAGTTGCTAGCTTTAGCAGCTAACCATGTAGCTAACTTTGTGTTACCGGGACAATCTGCTTCATTTAACGACAGCAGACTGGACTGGAACATAAAACCATTTAAATTATTTTTGAGGAAAAAAAACTCTACAATAGTTATGAAGTTAAGCTTTAAAAAATGAAATACGAGACAATACATAGGACCCAACTGACAGGATGCGAGTGCGCCATTATTCACACATTTACGGTCATGAACTTGATTTATTTTCTGGCTCTTTGATCTCTTACTGTAAATTGAATTTGTACATCATTATATAGCTGACTGAGGAAGCGTCATTATTAATTCATAAAGTTCTTCAATTCCAAAGAGAAATCAGTGTTTAGTTATTTTGTAAATAAATCTCAATTGTTACTCATTGAATTTATTTGTTCTTTACGGTTTTAGAAGAACAGAAAGTATCTTACAGTTAAACTCATTGGATCATTTGACAAGAACTATTATTATAATATTATTCTATTTGCAATAACTCATAAAATTGACTTTTTGCTCAGGTTTTTAACGGTTCAACTCCTGAACTCCAAATTAATATCAGCATCAAATCTGAGATTAATAACACATCACACATCTTTTAAAACGGTGATATTAACTTTGAGAGGTGTTGCCACAATAAGTGGATACTGCCGAATTTTACAGAACCTAAACATACTTCACTGTCCGGTTCTTGAGAGGAACAAACCAGGATGTCTGGATCAGAACCAACACCGGTTCTGGAGACAGTCATCATGTTAATGAGCTCTTGTGTCTCCTTGTTCCCACAGATGAGCCAAAGCAGCATGTCAGCAATAAGAAAGAGAAGGTACCAGAGGAACCAGAACCTCCAGAGAGTAGACAGAACCAGCAGGAACCAGAACCTCATTGTATTGGAGGGAAACATGATCATATTCAGATTAAAGAAAGCCAGAAGGAACCAGAGTTTGGAAAAACATTGATCCAGTACCAAGAGGAGATCAGAAAACTGGATGTCTGCTGGAATCAGCCCACCAGAACCGGTATGAAACCCACCAGAACCGGTACAGAGCTCACCACACTGCAAAAACACAACATTTACCAAGTATTCTTGGTTTAGTTTCTAGGCAGATATCTTAGTACACTTAAAATAAGACCAAACTAACTTACAAGTAATTTTTCAGCAATATTTTCCAAATTGTTGAGTCAATAATTTCTTAGTATTGATGAAAAGTTTTATGTTCACTAAGATATTTTCACTACAAATTAGACCAAAATTACTTGGTAATTTAGTGTTTTTGCAGTGCAGAACTGGTGAAATCAGCAGGATGCAGATGCTGAGCAGCTTTCTGTTCATCTTCTGTAGCCAGGAGTTCAGATTTGAGGCCTTTTTTCTGGACCAATAAATAGTTTGGATGGATAAGAGAGAAAATAACTGAGGATCATCCTGTTTCTAGATGAAAAGGCAAAGTTCCAGTTTATCTGTAGAACATTTCAGTGATCAAAGTGCTTTACATCATAAAAACACAAAGTCATAGAAAACACAGCCAACAACTGAAACATTACATTTTATCAATGCCATAATTAGACATCAGATTGTTGATTAATGTTTTATTATTATTACTATTATTGTATTATTCATTAGGATCACAGCAATTCTAGAAAAGATCTTAAATCTCAGTTGTTTTGCTTCTTTCTAAAAATAAATTCAATACATTTGGGTCGAAGTGGACTTAATGGAGACCGATGGCACCAGAGCAGCTCTGAATCACAGCATCAGTTTCATTCTGGGAAATTATTCTGTTTTTTCTGTTCCTCCAGACGTCCCACAGCAACATGTCTGGAAGGAAGAGGACGTTCTCTATGAGCAGAGGGAACCAGAACCAGAACCTCCACAGTTTACAGAAGATGGACCGTCAGATTCAGATCATCTGCAGTGTGAAGAGGACCAGAAGAACCCAGAAGGTTTGGGTGTTAAAGAGGATGAGGAGGATGTAGATCTTCCTCAGTTTGAGGATGAACCAGCGGAGAACCTCCAGAGTTTGAAGATGGTGAAATAAATTCAGAGTTTATGGAACCTATGAAGATCAAAGACCAAGAAAAACTTGAACCTCCAGAGTTTAAAGAGAAACTGGAGATTAAGCAAACGAGAGAGATCCAGAACCTCCACAGATTAAGTCCAGGAGGAACCAGAACCAGAACCTCCACAGACTCACGGTGAACAGGAGGAACCAGAACCAGAACCTCTCAAACAGGAGGAACCAGAACCTCCACAGATTAAAGTCGAACAGGAGGAACCAGAACCGGAACCTCAGTGGCTCACCTTCCTGATCCAGAGCAGCCAGCAGAGCCAGCAGCTGTTTTTGACGTGTGAAACCAACGTCTTTATGGACCCGCTGCCTTCTCATCAACCAGAACCAGAAAACGAACAGATTCACCATCAGAACCGTCCAGAACTTCAACACCGTTTCTACTTGGGTGCAACGCTGGATGCTGAGCAGATTTCAGAGGAATGTGATGGATCAGAACCGCCACCTGTCCAGCAGGAGAGGAAGAAGCTTTGGAGCGGCCGGGAGGCAGAACAGTTTATGGTAACAGGGTCTCAGGAACACGGCTGGATTGGACCAGAACCAGAGCAGTTTCAGTGTCAGAACCATGCAGAGGAGCAACAAAGTTTTATTGAGCTTAAACCATTTTATTCATGCGATTCTGATCGGATCCAAGAGGAACCAGAACATTTTCAGCAGCAGCAGGAACCAGTCAGGAGTTGGGAGGAGAAACTTCTAATGGCCTCAACTTGTCAACAACATGGCTGCTTTCAACCAGAACCAGGCGCTGGTCCGCTTCACTATCAGAACCCACCAGATCATCACCACAGATTCATGGAGCTTTACGGTTTCTACTCTGGTGTGATACCAGGTCAGGAACACTATGGATCAGAACCCGTCCAGCAGCAGCAAAAGAACCCAGGCTGGCAGCTGATCGCTCCGACCCGACCTGCGGCTGAGAACCAGAACCAACAGGGAACCAGCTCTGCTGGGTCAGAGCGTCGTTCTCAGACCAACACTGTGAAGTTCAGTAAATGCTACGTGTGCAGTGCCGTAGTGAAATCTCAGAGTTTGAATCAGCATCTAAAGACGCATCCCGGTGTGAAACCGTATGTTTGCAAGCGCTGTGGCGAACGCTTCGCCCAACATGCTCACCTGAGGGACCACAATATGTCCCACCTGGTGGACGACCTGAGAGCGCGGCAGCTGGCCGGAGTCAAAAGCAGACAGAAGAACTTCTTCTGTGAAATATGCAAACGAGGTTTTGCTGAACTTGCTTTTCTAAAAAATCACTACAAAGCTCACAAGTGGGAGCAGCCATTTTGTGAAACCTGTGGGAAACATTTCACTTCTGAACATTCACTCAAGTCTCACCTGAAAATACACCAGAGGAAACGTGCAAAGCCATTTTACTGCGGGTTATGCAAGAAAAGGTTTGCCTGTCATTC